TCTCTCTCTCTCTCTCTCTCTCTCTCTCTCTCTCTCTCTCTCTCGGATACCTAGTTACCACCTTTAGTAAAGTGATCAGGGTGGGTCCTTTATTCAGTCTCCACAACTCCAACTGCCCCTTTATTAATTACTCAGTATCACAAACTGTTGACTTTCACTTACTTTTCTAACTGCAGTGACATCACCAGTTGTGCATGAGGACAACAGCCAGTGTGTTGTTTTTTTGTGATGCATTCTTCTGTAAAGAATTCTGTAGATTGAAGTGCTCTTTGAAAACAGAACTGAAATATATTTATTCTTGTTTCAAAAAAAAAAAAGATGTTTTGTGCACATCATTTGCTTTTTCTGGCAGTCTGAGTGCATTATCTAGCACCCATGACTGCTGGTTCCTGTCTACAGTGTCCACAGGGAAGACAGGGAAACTTGGGAAGGGTGTGTCTGCAGAGCTGGAACAGGGATTATGAATGAGTTACTCAGTCCTGTTTTTGCCTTGAAAATCACTGTTGTTTTAAGACCTTTGTCTTAAAACCATGTGTGTTTGGCTGGGCTACGAATTACCTAGAAAGAAACTGCAGACTAGCATAAGCAAACAAAGCTCACAAACCAGGCACAAATGGAAGACAATGGACCAAAATAAGGCAGGGTAACACTTAAATCTGGGGCACTGGGAAAAAGTAAGGGTGGGAGGTGAACTACAGTCACCTGAAATACAGTGTAAGAGTGCAATAAGTGTGCTTCTTAGTCTAAGCTGTGAACTTGTTTTCAGTCATTCCTTTCTAATGCATTTAATACTATATGTTCCATTGCTGACTAAAACCAGCTTTGTGAACATAGGCCTTTTTATTTGTGTTAACTACCAATATAAGTGGCTAACCCTGATGTCTTATTTATCTTCATGTTGTATTAGTTTACATACCAGGTATGTGCGTCTATACTCTTCCTCCCTTTATTTGAAAACACTTTGGGTCATTTCCTTTGGTCACACAATACAGCGTTGGTGTGGCTTCCACGTTACCTTATTTGGAGGACTGTGTCCCAGTAGCAGAATTGTTGGTATTCCCATCGCTGGGTGTACTTCTGATCCTTTGCTTCTACAGCCCTTGCCTTCCTAAGGCAGTCATACAACTAACTGATCAGGGGATGGACTTCATTCGTCATGTCTCTTGGAGTCTATGAAATAGACTACTCTTTGGCTCTAGACCAGGAAAAAGGAGACAACCCTAGCCATCTACCAAGCCTCACCCTAAACAGTCATATTGGTCTGAGGACAAGTCAAATCTCCATCCAATAAGGGAGAGGGGAGGGAAATGCTTCGTGTCTGAACTTCGGTGAGTCTCGGCTCCTGTCTCACCACCCAAACCTATGGCAACTCATACACATTCCTCTTGTCTGTAACTGCCAAAGGTTTGGGCTATGTCAGTCACTTCAGTTCCGCTCAAGCATTGGAAAGGTTCTCTGGAGTCTGGGGTGTGCCCAGTGAAAATGCGGGGGACTTTTTCATTATCCACAGACCTCTCTGTACCTGCTTTGCAAAAATTATAATGGAATAACTATTTTTAAAGCTTATTTTTCAATTCATAAGAAAAAGACATTTATTTTCAATCAAATGGATGATGTCTCTCTCTAATCCCTTATTCCTCGATGTTTGCTTGAATTTTTTTTTTCTTCTATATACCTATTTCCTATTACTTTAGTTCTTTCCTGCTCAGGCCCCTTCATTTGTACTTTGGAGTTTTTCTCATGTAAATTTGTATAATGGAAAATATTGTTCAGTTTGGATAGAAAGCATGGAGAATTAAATAAAAAGATAGCTGAAAATCAAATTGAAGGAATTTATTTGTGTAAAGTTATTTAAAAACTATGTATTATAAAAAAGGCCAAAAACAGTGCTATGTAACTGATGTGAATATGCGGATACTGCTATAATAAAGATTGACTGCATGGAGAGATCGCAAGATTATTTCTCTAGCACTGACATCTAGTAACGGTGGTCACTAGCTGTTGACATTTATTTTCAAAACATTGATCCTTCTGATGGGTACAAGTTAAAGTTGGCCAGATTCCTGCATGAATTTAATTTGAATTTTACTGATTTGCTGAAGTCATATCAATTGGGTTTTTTCCCCTATCCCGTCCCCTTTCTGCTCCCCAGGGAGCATTTCAAACTACCATATGGGTTCCAGAAAAAAAAGATAACGACTTTAAAATCCCACACCTGAAAACCCTGTAAGGACAGAGAACAAGCCAGGAGGGTGTGTGCTTGAAGGGCTGTTTCTGACCTTTCCACCCTATGGAACTGTCAAACCTAAAGATGCTGTCAGGATTTAGCATTCTCTCAACTATAATTTTCTCAGCTGAAGAAAAAAGTTATTCTTATTCACAAATTTGTTTTCTAAATAACCATTCCTGAGGATGAGTTATTGCTGCTTTACTTTTCAATGCATCACACATGGAAGTTTTCCATGAGATTTGTCCCCAGATTGTGGACGTTTTACTTATATTCAAAATGCTTTAACAAAGCTCTCCCATGGCAGCTCTTCTGAAAGGGCTGTGGTCATTATGTCTTACTGTCTAGGTTACATATAATCCCCCAAACTCACAAAATTAGTAGTGCCATTTTTAAAAAAGAACCCTCATCCCATGAGACTGTGAAGGACTTGCCTCACTAAGTCTATGCAGCCAGAACACAATGAGGCTGTAATGAGGCCATCAGTACTGAAACCTAAATGAAAGTGGCTGTTTACTTCCCAACAGTGAATTCAGTTAGAAGAGGATGGTTGCCAGACAGTGTGCCAGCTGCACTTGCCAGGTAAGTCACTGGAAACAAGAGAAAGTGGAGGCTGCTGAGATGTCAGTCAGAACAGCTGCATGGGCTACTGACGTTTCCTCGACAGTACACACTTATACTCTGTAGATGGCAAGATTGTTCCTGAGAATAGTTTTGGGAAAGTGACACCAAAATGATATCTGTAGCAGTGGCAGCATGCTCCTTTAATCCCAGCACTCAGCAGAGGCAGGTGAGTCTCTGAGCTCAAGGTCAACAGCCAGGGCTACACAGAGAAACCCTGTCTCAAAACAAAATCAAAATGACACCTGTGGCTTCCTCTAACAGGCATTTAACCGGTGTTGTTGCTTTATTAGATATCTATCTACCTGTCTCTCTAGACTCCGGGAAGCTAGTAATTACAAACGCATGCTATACTATTGCCATGAGTCATCCCTCACCTGTCTTTCTCTTCACAAAGACCTAGCTATCTACCAGGCTTCACCCTAAAATTTAATTTGGAATATACTTTCAGCACTCACTGAAGTCAGTAAGGGAGCCTCTAAACTTGCTTAGGTTTTTTGAGTTGATTTTGAAGAGGAGTGGGACCCCCATCTGTGGTATGTGGGGCTTTCCTGAGAAAATCAGACCAGGATTCCAGGGTGGTCATAAACCTAGCTTAGAGGAAATGTTCTAAAAAAGAGTAAGTGCTCCTGCTTAGAGCAGCAGTTTCTCAACCTGGGGGGTCGACCCTAAGATCATTGGAAAACACATTTACATTACATTTTTCATAACAATAGCAAAATAAACTACAAAGTAGCAACAAAAATAATAAGGTCAAGGGTCATAGCATTAGGAAGGTTGAGAACTACTGTTCTAGAGACTACTTCTTCCTTTATGCTAGGCATAGGTCTAATTTTCTGTTTGTAAAGTAGTTTACAAACAGAAATAAACTTAGCCCACACTCAGAGCAAGTAAATGGTAGACTTAGGATCAGATCTAGCCAGTTTAGCCCTAGAGCTTTGAGGGGCTGTATCTCTCAAATTGCACACCCAGGTAGGTAATGCATCCAGTTTGGGATGTCTCCATTGACCATGTTCTTTTGCGTGTAGCCCTGGCTGTCCTGGAACTCAATAAACCAGGCTTACTGTCATCAAACACAAACCGGCAACCATTAACATCTAGTCCCATCCTCTCCTTACTCGTTTACAGTCACATGAGGCTGTTTTTCAAACAGAACTTGGTCTTTACCTAGACCTTGATCAGCCATCTTGTTCACATTTCTGGGTGGACAGTGGTGGCTCACACATTTAGTCCCAGCACTCGAGAGGCAGAGAGGCAGGAGGATGTCTGGGCTCAAGGCCAGCCTGGTCTACAGAGTGAGTTCCAGGACAGCCAGAGCTGTTACACAGAGAAACCCTATCTCGGAAAACAAAAATAAAATTTAAAAACCACACTTCCAGTAGGCCCTACATATTCAGGGTGTAGATAAAATGCCTCAGCACATCGTCCAGTGAACTTCTTTCACAGCTCTGAGCAAATCTCTCACAGGAGTGCTGACTTGGCACCCATCATTCCTTCTTAGAGCCCCCTATAAACAATCCTTTTGTCTGTGATTTTGATAGTTCTCACTCTGTATTCCAGGCTGTCTCCAACTTAACAATCCTCTGGCCTTCCTCTCATCAGTGCTAGAATTATAGGTATGTAGCCCCCAACTCCCACCTCTAATCAATCTTGGCACTGTATTCCCAAGGCCAAGGTGGTCAGTTAACACCAGACTTTCTTCTGGATGGAGGAAAATCCTACCTTCCTCATACCTACTGTAATGCCACAGAAAGTGGAATACCCTGGAACAAAATTTTGGAAAAGCAGAAAATCTTATCTTTATGCCCAGTCCTAAGAAATTCCTAGTCAGGCGTGGTTTGTGAGTCCTACAGGAGATCTGGAAATGGACCCTGCTGATCCCTAACCTCTGGGGCAACAATCTTCCTTCACAGCCTCACACCTACCTACATCACAGGGGACTAAAGAGGATTCGCCGAAAGGACACAAACCACTTGCCCAGCAAGCAGTTAGAGAATAGAATAAAGGACATATGTCACCAGAAACATAACTCAGATTACTCATTCTTGGTAGATCACTTTAATTTACAACTTTAAATATGAAGGCTGTAATTTCTTGAAACTTCTCACCTTGCTCCTGTAGAGAAAGAAAAGTTAGATAAATTTTAAGAACTATTACATTTATTAATCCAAATCCATAATCTTGTTTATCCAATTAGTATTTTTTTTTTTGAGCTCTGAATAGCCTTTCAAGAGAAAAGCAAAATCACCCTTTCTAAAGTGTTAATTCAATCTTCCCACTTGACCAGTGAGAGTAGGGCATGCTTTTGCAGCTACACACCACAAACTCTAACTAACCACTGTATTCAGGAAACAGCACAGAACCGGTTTCTGCTTCTGTTTTTGTTTTGTTTTGTTTTGTTTTGTTTTTTGTTTTGGAGGCAGGGTTTCTCTGTGTAGCCCTGGGCCTCACTCTTGTAGACCAGGCTGGCCTTGAACTCACTTGAGATTCACCTTCGTCTGTCTGGAGGCTGTTTCTGAGACAGGGTCTTATCTAGCTCAGGTAGGCGCCAACTTACTCTATAGTGTTGTCTGATCCATCCTCCCAAGTGCTGGAATTACACGGGAACAAGCCAGCAAGCCTGGGTTTTCTGTCTCATTGCACTTTATTTTGTGCTGGCAAGGGAACCCAGGGTCCTGCCAGTGCAGAATTCATCTGTCTTTACTCAATGTGTGGACAGCACCCCCAAAGGTTACTAACTTTAAAAATACTTTTTTGTTTTTATTATACAATGAAAACAAGCTAATAAAAGGGATGTGGGCAGGCAGGCAAATGTGGAAACACTTAGGCAGAAATTAGGTTAAGACCAGTAGCTATTAGCATACTCCTGTTTAAGACCATCAAGAGTACAAAGAAGACTTTAGGGCATACCTACTTGCACAGAGTTGAGTTTAGACTTCTTCAGTCCTCCTCATCAGGAGGGATCCCCAGTTCTTCATCTGTCCACTGTGAAGGATCTGGGTATGAGAAGTGGCCCTGGTGACAACCAGTCAAAAGAAAACAAAGTCAAGATTCTATACTAATCACCGCAGCTAATTAAGTTCCAAAACAGTGCAGTAACTACTATAACCTGCCATACACGAGAACTGATTCTCCCTTAACCGTCCAGTGGCTCAACGCACTGCAATCTGCTCACTACACACAGTGGCTTGAAATTTTTACAGGTGGCAGCCTAAGCCATTGAGTATGTTTATGATGAGGAGTGGGAAGAAGTGAAGGCCACAGATTTCATATACACTCCTTATCACAGCAAAATCTCATAGCCCTGGTTAGAAAACATACGGTTTCAAAATCCTTTACTACTATTGTCCAGACTTAGCCTCAAGTGGAGGCAGCCTGGAGACCTATCTTGCTGGAGTATCCTCTACTACCTACAGCCTGCTACTCCTGACGACCCAACTAGAGTAAAAAAAAAAGATGTTTCTAGCAGGAAGTATGCAGCTCAAGCAGCATACTTGAAGGACAGAAGCAGAGCAATAAACACGTGTGTATTGCTGTTTACATCTCCTCATCATGAGTGTGCATATTTGCCTACATGCCACAGCATGCCTCGGACAGTCAGAGATCTGTTACTTAGGGTCACTTATGGTTCTCCTACCACATGAACTCCCAAAGGAACTGAAGGGACCAGTTTCCCTTTTGGCAGCCATAACGGCCGAACACGTGCTTCTATGACCTTATCCTAGACACTAGAAAGTCAGATGCCTGTCTCGTGACAAGGAGCCAATCAGAAGTTAGCTGGTGGCGCTATGCTTTACGACCCTGGGTGTGCTTTACGGACAAGCACACAGCAATGACGTAGAGAGCATAGCAACCACCCTGGGAGGGCCTATGGGCCGTAACAACCAGTTGACCAATCAACACAGGGCAAGCCCTCCAAGCCTGGAGGCACTCCAATCCTGAGCCTGTGCATACCCCTAGACACTCCCCTTATGCTGCCCTATAAAGATCTGTGCGCAGCGGCTTCAAACTGTCTTTGCTAGCCATCTGCCATGGTGGGTGGGTCAAAGGCCCGAGCTAACATGGGGTTAGCTCCTTAAACTACAATAAAGCCTCATGCAATTTGCATCAAGCTTTCGCCTCCATTCTGTGATTGGGGTGGCCGCGGTTCTGGGCTAAGATTCTGGAAGCCTCAGCTTTCCAAGGGTCTTACAGAACTAGGCTGTCAGGGTGGCTCAGCTCCTTTACACGATAAGCCATACTGCCAGCTAAAAACAGCTTTGTTACTGAAGAAATTATTTAAATTGGAGGATTTTTTCTTCACCTATCCTGAAAACAAACCCAAGTTTACTAAAATTCAAAGTGTCCTGGGTCTATAGATTTCAATGTCCATCTTTTTTTCAGTGCTGGGGATGAGACCCTAGGGCACTCATTCTTGTTAGGCACTTTGTAACCTCGAGATTTCAATGTCCAGCACTTGGGACACAGAGGCAGGTGGATCTCTGTAAGTCTGAGGTCAACCTGGTCTACAGAGCGAGTTTCAGGTCAGGTTCCAAAGCCACAGAGAAACCCTGCCTGGGGGGAGGGGGGACAATGTGATGTATACGTGACAAACAGTGGGATAATAGAAAGTCACCAACAGGGCTGGAGAGATGGCTGAGGGGTTAAGAGCGCCAACTGCTCTTCCAGAGGTCCTGAGTTCAATTCCCAGCAACCACATGGTGGTTCACAACCATCTGTAATGAGATCTGGTGCACTCTTCTGACATGCAGGGATACATGCAGACAGAACACTGCATATGTAATAAATCGAGAGAGAGAGAAAGAAAGAGAGAGAGAAAGAGAAAGTCAACAATAACTCCCCTTCCCAAGACAAATGAACTTCCATCTAGTGCTCCCAAATCTGGTTGCTCTGGCCTCTGGAAAGACTGAAGGATGTTTGGCTTTTTAAAAAAAAAATTAATGTGGGGTGTGGTGGTGCCTGCCTAATGTTTGGAAGGCAGAGATGGGAGGATTGGAAGTTAAGGGCCAGTCCTACACATATGGAATGTTTGAGGACAGCCTGGCCTACGTAATACCTGGTTCAAACAAGAAAGTTAACCTACAAATGAAGATAAATGTTAACTAACCAATCATAAAGAATTACTTCTAGATCCTTGAAATGTACACCACATAAACAGGTCTAAAGGTGACAAGTTGTCGGTAGAGGGATACAACCAGACAGGAAAAGATTGCCACACACAAGCAAATCTAGCCATACTGACTCCCTCCCCGGCTCTCCCGAACTTACCAGCACAGCGTCTGAGTCATGCCAAAAGTGCCAAAGAATCCAGAACCACATGAGTGAGCTTAAGAATTCACCCTGCATCACCTGATGTCGGGTGAGCTGGGGAAACTCCCTGTACTTGGGCGGGATATGCACACCATCACCAGCACTAGGAGAAAAAGCAATGCGGAAAATGGCTTCTGAAGTGTCCAGAACAGGGCCATCCACGCTTGCAGCTGCATCTTTCAAACTCAAGTTCGCACACCTCATCTACACCAGGGTGCAGACTGACCGCTCCTGCTTCCTTCAACACTCCCTTTTCACTTAGCTTGCCTTAAACTTGGGAAGCAAGAGAACTGGCTGAACCGACACTGCAAACTGTGATGCCACCCAAAAAGGTTTGTATGAAGGGCACCCAACGGGACACCTCAGGCAGGAAGGTAGTAGAAAATCCGGTATTTTTACCATGAGGGACATTCTTAAGGTTGGCCTGGGCTACATGAGACCTTGTCTCAAGGGAAAAAAAAAAAAAAAAAAAAAGACAAACTATCATATGGGAAAGTGAACCTGAGAGAATCCTTTTTAAAACTCTAATAACTCGAACAGAGCGAACAGAGCCAAAAAAGCTTCGACGGTAAACCTGAACAAAATCAACAGGGTGTGGGGAACTCAGTTAGGCACTTATTGGCAAATCGTGACACATTATCGAGACAGGGTTTCTCTGTGTAGCACCGCTGTCCTGGAACTCTGTAGATCAGGGGGTCCTCAAACTCAGAGATCTGCCTGCCTCCACCTCCAGAGTGCTTTTTCTTTCTTTCTTCTTCTTCTTCTTCTTCTTCTTCTTTCTTCTTTCTTCTTTCTTCTCTTCTTCTTTCTTCTTCTACTACTACTATTACTACTACTATTATCACTAACCAAGCACAAGTGCCTGGAAAGCAATTACTGAAGCTGACACTCACCGGACGTCCATGCAGACAGCTCGGAGACTCGGGCTCCCACCCAACACAAGTAGTCTCCGCGCTGTCTGCATTAAGCCTCCGAGTCAAGCTGTGGCCCCATCATAAAAGGGGAAAGAGTAATGGGACAACGGGAAAGACACTACTTGTCACCAGAGGCCGAGCCTCAGGACCTCAGAGTGGGGTCTGCACCCAAACCCCACCTAAGTTGGGCCTCTACCTGATCGGCTGGGGCTGATTCCCGGGTTGGGGGTGAGGGGAATCCTCCTCAGGGGGATAAGAGAATTGAGACCTCAAAAGAGCAGATTAGGGGCTGGAGAGATAGCTCAGGGGTTAAGAGCACTGGCTGTTCTTCCAGAGGTCCTGAGTTCTGGTGGCTCACAACCATCCGTTATGAGATCTGGTGCCCTCTTCTGGTGTGCAGATATACATGGAAGCAGAATGTTGTATACATAATAAATAAATAAAATCTCCCCCCCCCAAAAAAAAATATGTTAAGAAAAAAAAAAGAGCAGATTAACCCTGCAGGGACACAAGAGCTCAGCTCAGTAAGACCGTGAGTGTCAGGGCTCTGCGGTGGAGAGGGTGCAGCCCGGACTGGGGGCTCTAAAGCGCTCGCCCGCTTGCTCGCTCCGGTTAACTCGGGGTGTCAGCGCGTGCCTGACTCTCACTAATCCCCGCCCTCAGGAGGCAGAGGCAGTGTTACGGCCTAAATTATAACAAGTTCCAGGCCAGTTGAGGCTACATCGTGAGACTGTCTCAAATAAACAAACGGCCACATTTTACAAGGAACCATGCCCTCGTGGTAAAAACGCCGGATTTACGACTACCTTCCCGCCTGAGGTGTTCCGAGGGTGCCCGGGGCTGTGTGTGCAAACTCCTGACCGGCGTCCCCCGCCCAGGCACCCCATCTCCGCTCCCCACAGAGCTCGCTAAAGCCTCAGTCCCGGCTCACGCGGACTACAAGACCCAGCATTCCTCGGGGC